CCCCCAGCGCGGGTGGACGTTCCCGACGTCCACAGGCCCTTCTTAATTGTAGAGTGCATACCAAGGCATCATCTTAAGGTGGGGAAACAACAACAACCAAAATCAAAAAGCAAACAAAAAGAACTCCCAGAACCTCAGGATCATTTCTGGTCTCTGTCCCAGGAAGCTCCCGGGACAAATCTGATCGAGGTACACCCAGGTCAAGTTGGGTCTGTGCCACCGCGCTTCGTCAAGCCCACGCCCGCGGCACCCTCCGCGCCTCCTCCCAGGCGGCTGCACAGTCCTCCCCCGGCTCTCGGAGATGGGCAGCGCGCGGTCGCCAGCCAGACCGCTGCGCCGAGGTGACTGTGGCTGGGAGGAGGTCCCCTATCGCCCAGACTCGGTTTGCGTCCTTCCTTCAACCTTGGCTGCGGGCCCCTGCCACTCGCAATAACACCATCACATCCTCTGCACCGAAACTTCCCGCCAAGCAACACCCAGCCAATTAACCCCATCCTCTCTTCCAGCACAGAATTCCACCCACGAACCTATTCCCTCTCCCCGCGCTTCAGACACCTCTCTCATCGGAAAACCGCGTGAAGGGAAGCAGGCACTCAGCAGAGGACCCTGGCTGAATTAGTAAGTTTTTGTTTTTTTCCCTCAGTCTACTTTTCTCTCCAGAAACCAGTTCCCACGGAATAGAAGGTGCTGTGTTGATGCTGATAAAACCCCTGTCGATGAATTCACTTTGCCCTCCCCTCTTACCACCTTCCCAGGTCGGGAACTGTCTCCAGTTACTGGGGGATTCAATCCTGCCAATTGGGTCATAAAAAAAAAAAAAAAATCCAAACCCGGGAGGCTGGCAGGGAATGCAGGGTGCAGGGCCACTTCCTTTTGGGCTCTGCGAGGTCGCCGAGGAAGGGGAGAAAGAAGACCTCAGTGTTCCTGCCCCGTGCCAGGGCGCTGTGCCACAGAAGGAAAGCCCGAAAGAGGAGAGGGAGGGAGGGTGTGTGTGAGTGTGTGTGTGTGTGTGTGTTGGCGAGTGCGGGCTGTAGTGTGTGATGGAGGTGCGTGTGTGAACGGGTGAGTGGGTGGGTGAGGGTGAGTATGCCCCTCTTCAGAGCCGCCCTGGGTACCCTCTCCCACTGCCGCCGGTGCCGGCTACCGTCTCCCAACCTTTGCTCCTGTCTCCCCACATGTCTCACCTGCAGATGGCAGTTCCCAGAAGCTCCTGCCCCTCTGACAGCTGTCGCCTGGGCAGCCCTGGGAGACGAATTATCCTCTTTCCTGGTGCTAGAGGACGCAGGAAATTAGCCAGGTTGCGAGTTGCAAAGCGGCCGCCGCGGCGCCGGGAACTGGACGAGCCCCACCTCCAGCGGGAGCGGCCGGGCCGGGCCGGGCCGGGGCCTTGTCTCGCTCGCCATCGCCGGACAAAGCACAGCCGAGCCGGGCTGGAAGGCAGAGCGCCGAAGCAGGCAGGACGGAGCGGAGCAAAAGAATGCGGCTCTATTCTCGCAAGGGAAATTATAAAAAAGTTCATGTTCACGGTTCTCATCCACATGACCGACAGCGGCCAATGGAAGGGCCGAACAACTCATAAAGTTGTATTGCAAAGTTGTAAATTTTCATAAACAACAACGGATTTATGACCCTTTCCCCATCACTAAGAGGAGGCAGCTCTTACACCGGCGCCATCTTACCACCGAGGCCGCCCCGACTTGGGGCCGCAGGTTTTACAGACCCAGTTGGGCTGGGGTTTATTAAGAGTAATAAGAAGTGGGCCCAACCCAAGCAGGAGACAGGAGTCGAGGTCTTCGCCCACCGAGCTCACCCTGTTCTGCGCTGTCCCCACCACCCCTCGCCCCTTCCCCAGCCCCTCAATCCTTCTCATCCAGACGCCCGTGCCAAAGTTTCACAGCCGGGTTTGCGGCCCCTGCCCCTTCCCATACCCCTTAGCTTCAGTGCTGGGTCCTGGGGCGCGCTCGCTTTGCCTGAATGTGGGGTTGGGGTTTGCATCAGAGGCCCTGAATCCCGCGTCCCATCCTGGGGTCGGGTTCAGGGCTCGTGGAAAATTCGGAATCAATTGTAGGGTAATACCCCTTTCCAAGCCCACCCTATAGCCTTATAGGAAAGGGTGGATTTGGGATTCTCTCATGGAATTTATGGAGGTTTTGGGGGAGGTTCATAGAATATAATGTATCAATCGAAGATTCCGTTTTCAAGGGATCTGGAAGATGTTTGCACACACATGCAAACCGGACAAAAATCTCCACACAGAGAAATGCACATATACAATTATGGACACACAGAAACGCATGCACACAATTACGGACAAAGAAATACCTGCAATTGTTTTCACACAAAAACACCTGCACTCAATTATGGACAAAGAAATACATACAATTATGGACTCAAAAATACACAGAAATACACATACAAAAAGAGGTACACACACCTATATGAATCTACACATAAAAAGTCCACATGAAAAGGGATTCGACGTGTATACACCAATACGTGACACCCAGCACATAGACCCTATTCTTTCTTCCATTTTTGCTGTCCCAAAGCCCCTTTGACCACACAGACACAGCCAGTGCTTGCTCTCCACTCATGCTCACCCTCTCTTCCCCAGGCCCCCTCCCCCCTAGATAAAGCGGTCCACATTTCTTTGTCATTGAGCATCTTTATTTTTCTGTTACATAAAACATTGTAAACTGGGCAAGACAGGAAGTGTACCTTCCTGTTCCTGGAAGCCCAGGCTAGAGCCAAGAGGGATGAAGGGGACACAGGACAACACAGGAGATGGAGGGCGCTGGGGAGGGCTGCCCTCCCCACACGCTATAGAGTTAGGTCAAGACAACACACCATGCTACAAAGTCACCCCATTAACACATCCTTCCCAAGTCAGGACATTGCCTTACAAATGAGCTCCAAGACATAAATGACAAAAAAAATCTTGTTCAAATATACAATATTTGCCATTGTAGGAAAAGCCAGGGTGTACATATTCAACATGGCTGGACAGCAGGACACAGGGGCCAGGGGAGGGACAGGGAGGCTGGGAGCATCTCTGCAAACCCAGAGGCCTTCAGCTAGCTTGAGAATGCTCCCTTCCAGAAATAGGGGGTGATGGGCCTGAACATGGGGTGCCCAGTTCAAAGAAGGAGGGATTCTAGATTGCAACACTTAGAATGCTTTGGAATAAATATATTATTTTTCCATTTAAATAGAAGCCAATGCCCTGGTCCCCGGACACCAGTGCCTTCTCAGCACAGCCTCAGAGACCCCAAAGACTGCTAGCCCCCGGAAGCAGCAGCGGCCTGGCTGTGGAGGGGGGAGGGTTCGGCACTAGGTAGCAGGCGAGCCAGCCAGCACAAAATAGGTAGTTTGGGGAGAGTAGGTAGTACTGAGAGTCAGGTCCTTGCGGGTATGGGGGAGGTGTTGGGTGTCTGACAGTGTTGGGACGTGTCTGGGCTTCCTGGGAGTGGAGGCCCTCTGGGCCTGGGCCCATAGGTAGTTTGGGGGTGCCTCTCCCCGAGGCCTGTGCTAGGTAGTATTTTAACCGTGCCAGAGCAAAGCTGGCGGGACTGGGATTGGGGGTGTCTGTTGGAGGGTGGTCCTCGAAGGCAGAGGGGATCCCCAAGGGGTCCCAGTCTAGGTGGCTGCTCAGTCCAAATAAGCTGGGAGCTGGAGTGGGTAATGGGGTAGATTGGGTGCAAGTTGGGGACTGGGGTTTTTTTTTTTAACATTTTCTTTTTATTTTTTTCCACTTTTGTAAATAAAATCAGTCTCTAAAGACACTTTCCCGACTGTCTGGTGCAGCCAGGGCCCTGGCTCCAGCCCTCATTCCTCCTCCTCCTCGTCGTCGTCGTCGTCGTCCTCATCGTCCTCCTCGTCGGCCTTGTTGGCGGTGGCGGCTGCAGCGGCGGCGGGCACGGCACCCTCGGGGGCGGCGGAAGCGGCCGGAGCTTCATCCTTATGCTCCTTCTTCCACTTCATGCGGCGGTTCTGGAACCAGATCTTGATCTGGCGCTCGGTGAGGCAGAGCGCGTGAGCGATCTCGATGCGGCGGCGCCGCGTCAGGTAGCGGTTGAAGTGGAACTCCTTCTCCAGCTCCAGCGTCTGGTAGCGCGTGTAGGTCTGGCGGCCCCGCTTTCGGTCCGGCCCTGCGAGCAGACACACACACACACACACACACACGGACACGGACACACGGACAGACAAGCGACAGGGACACCGAAAGGACAGTGCATTAGCCAGGCCGCCATCCCAGAGCGCGCACCTTCCTCCCGGCCCTGACCTAGGCGGGAGCCCCCCCTCCGCCCCGCGCCCCCAAACTGAGCTGGGGGAGGAGCGGGAGTGTTAGCTGAAGACCCCGACTGCGGTGCCAGACGCGCAGGCAGCTCTGTGAGGAGGGAAGGCGCAGAATCCCAACTTTACAACCGCCCTTTCCAGCCGGCTAGGCTTCCACAATGTCCTGCTTCCCCCTGACAAAGGGAAATTGTAAATATAGAGTGTGGGCAAGTGGGAGATGCTGCGCTTTTGCCATTCAAAGGCGAGCCGGGCCGCTTCCCCGCCTAGCTAGGCAAAAGGGAGACCTTCTCCGGCGGCCAGCACTCCAGGGGCGCTTTCCCTCCCCAGCAGCCCGCGTCCCCAAACCCGGACCTTCCTAGGGCACTCCGGTTCTCTTTCTCCACTGCCACACACCCATCCCCGCCTTTAAATGGCCCCTGGCACTGGGGCGTGTGAGGGGCCCTAAAGGGTTTGAGAAAAAAAAAGCCTGGCTGAAAGGAAAAGGAGGAGGGAGGGAGAGAGAAGAAAGGGAGGGAGAAAGAGAGAGAGAAGAGAATAGCGAACAAACTTAGTGTTGAAATTCCAAGGCAAATGGAGTTAAATAAATTTACGAGGATCGAACCCATTAATTGGGCAATAAAAAGTTTTATGAGCCTCATTTACATACAATGCTATGAGCTCTCCACGCTATGGCGCCTTGGCTCTAATTAAAACCAGAAAGGCAGAGCCGCCAAGAGTCACGGGGCAGCCGCCTTGCAGCAGCCTTGCTCCGCGCTCCGCGCTCCTAGCCCCGTGCTCCGCGCTCCCAGCCCCGCGCTCCCAGCCCTGTGCTCCCAGCTCCCAGCCCGCGCGCCCACCCGGCCCGCCTAGCGGCTGCGCCTACCTGAAGACCGCATCCAAGGATAGATACGGAAATTGGCCTCGGCCGAGCCGTGCAGCGCGCCTTCGTCTGCCTTGTCGCAGGCGCCTTTGGCAAGGTCACTGCAGAGCCCCGGGATGTTTTGGTCGTAGGAGGCGCAGGGCAGGTTGCCGTAGGCGTCGGCACCCAGGCCGTAGCCGGACGCGAAGGGGCTCTGATAGAGGGGGCTGTTGACATTGTACAAGCCCGGTACGGTCGAAGGGAAGGCGCCAGCGCCCGCCCCGTAGCCGCTTCTCTGCGAGCTGGGCGCAAAGGAGCAAGAAGTCGGCTCGGCATTTTGGAATAGAGAAGCCCCCGCAGTATATTTGCTAAAAAGCGCGTTCACATAATACGAAGAACTCATAATTTTGACCTGTGATTTGTTGTCCGGCAGCTTTCAGTGTCGGTTTTACGAGGTAGCGTGATATATGATAACATTACACCCCCAGATTTACACCAAACCCCATTTTCTTTTGGACGGAGGTCGCCGCAGCACGTGACCGCCCACATGATCGCCTCCGCCAATCTCAGCAGCCCTCACAGGTGGTCTCGCTTCGCGGGGCCCGCGGCAGCCTAGAATGGAAGGGGAAGAGGCTCAAATATGTGGCCAACGAATCTGCCCGCGCCCGGCCGGCCTGGCGCGTCCTGCTGGAAAAGGACTCTTGAGACCCCGCGCGGGCGCTCAGCCCGCCGCCAACCTGGACCCCTGGCCTGCAGAGGTCGCGCGGAGCCGGCCGGGTGCAGTCCCCTCTTGCTTATTACCGAACGCTGGACCAAGCCTGCGGGTCCTCCCTGCCCCTTTTTCTGCCCATTGACGCAGCACAGGGAGGGTCTCTGCACTCCGAGTATCCGCCCGCTCCACGGTGGCCGGGTGGGCAAGTCTCGAGCTCTGGGCAAATCGACTCTTTGCCTGTGTCTCCCCCCTCCCAGGTCCAGTGGGCCGGAGGCCGACTTAGACTCTGATCCAGATGGGGCAGGCGCAGCGTCGCTTTCAGCTACAGCGAGAAAACCACCGCAAACTGGAACCATGTGGTTGGAATAAAGTCAAGGTCTTTCAGCTTCCTTTCCTTAATCGGTAGCGCACTGTTTATCTGCCCTAAAGGAAACAGTGAAATATTTATCTATTAATGAGCCTCATTTGCCAGCAGATTTATTAACATGAGGTTCCCCCCCTCCTCCTGGACACCTCTGGCCCGGCAGGCTCTGTGCGTTCTCTCCTGGGCACCTGGCTGGCCTCTGGCAGCCTAAGAAATGGCTGGACACTTTTTTGTCCTCCCTGCAACCCTTGGTTCCCCCTCGCTCAAGGGAAACCAAGTCTCTTTCCCCCAGCTTGTTGGAACCTCAGGCCAACACTTTCCAGGTGCCAGTGGTGCTGTAAGGTTTCTGGTAGCTTTCACTGGGGCCACCCCTAGGCCTCAACTGGCTCCTCATGGGCCTGGATGCCTGCGAGCAATACATGCTTTAGAGCCAATTTGGAGAAGAGAGCGGGCCTGGGCGCCTGGGGACTGCAGCCCACTATAGATCTGCATTTCTTTTGGAGACCCCCAAAACAAATAGGGGGACCTTTCCCAAAAGGCCACCCAGCTCTGGCGGCTTCACCTTTCCAAGGACTGGCTTTACCTTTCCAAGACTGGAGCTCAAAGTAGTCTCACTCACTCCCACCCAGGGCCTCAACTCTCGGAGCTTACCTTCCCAAGCCTCCAAACTCTGCGCAGGGTCGGAGCAGCAGAATGCCCTGCTGCCCACCACTCCCTAGAGGGTGGTGGGGTGAACCCTTCCCCTAAACGCCTCATAAACTGCCCAGGCTTCGATGGAAGCCCAGCAGTCAGGTCAGTACGCATTTTACTGCTCAGCTCTATTGCATACCATAAACCCGACCTCACAATGGAATTGCCCCGGAAATTCTCTGAATTATAGAGTTTGATTCCTTGTGTACAAAACGCTTCCCATCACTTTCAGAGGGTCCAGGCCGCCCCTGTTCACCGCACGCTCTCAGGGGGTCCCAGAAGCACAAAAGGTGGCAGAAGCGTTCATGCTTGGATGCAACGGAGCCCGAGCTCTGGCCTAGTGGACTGCCTGAGGCGTGGGTGGGGAGGCGGGGGCTGTCTGGGCAGGTGGGTGCCTGGTGGTTTCCCCTGGGGGCACAGGGGCCATAGTGCGGCAATATCCAGGGATGCCCTTTATGGAGGACCAGGATGATGGTGTGTCTCCCCTGGGGAATGGTGGGGTAAGACTGGAAGAGAAGAAAATACCAAATATTCCAAATAGCATTACTTTCTGGCAGGAAATAAAAGCCTAAGAAAGTTAAAGGAAGACCAAACAAACAAGAAGGCTAGAAGATCAAAGAGGCGGAATTAGACAGCTTTAGACCAATAAATTGTTCCTCGGGTGACACAGAGCAAGATGCAAAGAGAAAGAACGGGCCCCGCCGCCGCCGTCTGTCTAGACTCCGGTGGCTGCAGCAGCCGACGACAGCGATGGCGTTTAAAGTAGAACCTGCCTTCATGGGGCGACCCGACAGACCGAGGGGGAGCAACTTCTGGGAGAGCAGGAAAGAACGCGTTCCCAGCCAAGAGGGCTGGGAGCCTGTACCATAGGCTCACCCCTGCCCGGGTTTTGTGCGGCGCAGGTCCAAGCCGTCCTGGCAGGACGCGCTGAACCTCCTCCTGGGCCAAAGAGGATCCAGATACTGCCGGCAAGGCCTCGGCCTTTCTGGGCCCAAGTCAGCCAACTGGGACGAGTCCCGCGGGTGCTGAAACCTCCCTTTCGTTTCTGAGCTTCTCTCTCCCCTCTTGCCTTCAGCGGGTTTTCAAACGAAAAGGCCAGACAAAACCAGGCTTTCAATATGGCCTCTTGAATCGCGTGTTCTGGAGCCTCTGGTTTTCTATTTATTTGGCTGAACAGAGACACCTGCGCTGGGTTATATGTGATAATATTCACAGAAATACTCGTTGACGCTCGACCTGGGGCAGGCACGAGAAGGCGAGTTTCTAAGCAACCGAGCTGTCTTTATTTAAAGACATTTTCTCAGCGCTCTCCTGGAGCTGGGGTCCTACCTACCAAGCAGAGTGTCTTTCCCCTGCTTCTCGTTAGGAAACAGTCCTCAATATTTAAATCCAGCTAAGAAGGTAAACCCAGCTTTGGGTCAGCAAATGGAGCCTGCCGGGAGTCGGGCGGCTGGCGATTTGCTTCTGTAAACTTTTCCACCCGCACCCGTCTCACGGGCTGCGCGTCTCTTCTCCACCTAGTGCGCAGTCTTCCGTCGCGGCGCGGGGACGGATTCGTCCCTGACAAGTGCAAAGGAACTCCGCCTGGCTCGGGGTCCTGTCTGCGCGGCTCAGAGGGAATCGGTTCCCTGGCAGCCGAGCGGGGAGAGCCGCCTCCCAGCCACCGGCAGGCCAAGGGCAAGAGAGGCCCCGCCTGGCAGTCCACGAAGCAGAGTTCCCGACCGGCCTGCACCTACCTGGAGCCTCCGTGATCGGTGGTGAGAAGCGGTCGCCACCGATCTGCTCCTCCGCCATTTATTTGTAGTTACATAAATCGAGCTTTGTATCTGCGGCTTGGATACACGGCCACTGGCGGCTCTTGGGGAAGCTATAAAAACCCCTTTCAAAAAAAAAAAAAACTCTTTCATCAGAGGCTGTGACATTTTATGTATTATATAAGGAAATATAATGAAGGCGTGTGTCTGTAATACCAACGTGTGTATATAAACAGAAAAGGGCGGAGAGAGAGAGAGTTAGGAGAGATGGAAGCCAAAAACCCAGTCCCCGGTTTTACAGCGTGTACAGCGCGGAGATGCAGGTTGTAAACATTTGGTGGGCTTGGCGGAGATTATTACAACCGAAATAAATGCACCGCGTGGTGTGTTCACAGGACTCGGGAGTACTTCGAAGTGTTCCCTGTTTGCTTTTGCGTTTTCCCTCTGAAACCATTCTGCACCCGGGGCTGATCCTCGCACCCGCGCTCCGTACCGCCTCCTGGAAGGCTCTGAGGCGTGTTACCCCGCCCAGGGTCGAGAATAGGCTGGGCCTGGATTGGGGTTCACTCCCTCCTCCTCCTCGCTTCCTGAGCAGGGGACGCCAGAGTAACCTCAGTGCCTCCACTGCTCAGGAAATTCGGGGGCGAGAGAAAGCAAGGGAGGCTTTCACCACGTGAGCTCCTATCCTGGAGCTGGGATGTTAATATAATTATTTTAAATATCACATTTATTTTAGAATAACTAAAGCAGTTCCTGGTCTGTCTCCCGGGATTTCCCATCCTGCCATACCCACACCAGACAATTACCAAGAACGCCTTTATGCCCAATTTTCAGCCGCCTAATTTTATTGTCACGTTTTTAAGGCGGCCTAGTCCCGGGATCCTGGCTCGCCTGCGGGTGCTGGCTCTCCCGACCCTGTACCGGGGCGCAGACTTCGGGGCTCTCTCTCGGGCCGCCGTAGAACCCTTGGCCACCGTGTACGCCCTCTGCACACCCTCTGGGGGGGTCACCAGGTCCACGGGCTGTAGGCCTTAGTCCTTGTGTCTGTCCGCCGGTCAGTCGCGTTCTCCGAGCGTCGTCGTGATGCCCCGAGGCCTGTCCTGGGCTGGGAACGGTGACCCTAGATCGGTCCCCGCGCCTGGAGCTACTGCCCCATAGCAGCCGGACAGCTGCAGCCCCGCAGCGCTAGGCCCCCGGGATGGGGAAGAAGGGGGCGGGAGCGGTGCAGGTCAGGCGAGCCCCCGCCGCTTGCCTTTTTGTTTCCCAGCGAGGCTTCTGTCCAGGTGTGAGCAGCTCCGAAAATATACGACCACCGTTCGCTCAAATCTGGGTCTCCCATTCCAGAAAAGCTTGCATCAAGTCGACATCTTAGGAACTTCCCAGAGTCAAGGCGGCGGGAGATGGCGGCGCGGGCGCCTTTTGCGTGGAGCCATACTGCCATCTGCTGGCCGCACCTTGACACTGCACCCAAGCCGCCCGGCCTGAACTTCGCCAGCAGCCGCCGCGGGTCGGGCGTCCCATTCCCAAAGCTGGGCAAGGGCCTATCCCCGGGGGGTCTGCACGGAGCCCGGAATCTACGCTGCCGAGAGGGCAGTGCCCATAAAAGTGAGCTGTTTCCGCAGCCGCTTTATCGGCGGCAGACAGAGCAAACAAATGAAAGGGCTTTGGGGGAAAATCTTAATTGGGGCTGGACAGTTGTAAACTCATTAAGGGCCGAATTCCAGACAGTTCGCAGACCCGGCCTTTATGGCACACCCTTACTGCCCATTCTTTGAAGTTCCTTCTGTCTGCAACAACAGAGGGCGTCCCAACCTGGCGGCAGGGTGGGGTTGGGAGAGAGGGGACACCCCATCCCCCGGCGCCCAGGCTTCCCTTTTCCGAGCCCAAACAGAGATAACTTCGCAGAAATCGCGGGGGGGTCTGGGGGGGGGGTAAGGCGAGAAAAGAAAAAGGGGGAGATGAAGCTGAACCCTCCTCCACATCTAGAAGGCGCTCAGGCCTCCGAAGTTGTGGCC